GCAACTTTTGCTACAAGGAACCGCATGGACAGGCCCGCCACTCCCTGGCTGGTCTCCTGCATCCAAAACAAACAGTCTGGCGGGCAGCATGTGGGCACAGAATGAAGTGGGGGAGAGCATTTCAGGATAACCAGGAGAGCTTCTCGAGAAAACCTGTTTGTTGTTAGGAAATAAAAATGATGAGCCCAGGAACAGGGCTGGGGTTGGTAGGGGGTGCATACCTTCTCTCACAGCCCAGTAGACACCATCATGATAGCCACTTATGGAATACCTGCTGTATGCTAAGACCCATCCTCACCATCTTTAAGCAGCAAGGTGATCATCTGGCCAATGAGGAACCTGAAGCTCAGAATACTTGAGGGAGTGGCTCAAAGTTATCCGGCCAGCAAACAGATTTGATCTCCGGTCTGTCTGGCATTAGTAGTCCCCTAAGGCAAAAAGCTTAAATTTCAGAGATGTGATCATTTAGGTCTTTGGGAAAGCAGGTTCTTTAAACAATGCTGATTAGATAATCAGCACTATGACGAAAAACAGGAACCGATGAAGAGCTGTTCATCTAGAGTCTGGGCTTTCTGAGCAGCGCCATTGGCTTGTCCTGCTGTACGGAGAACTGCAGGGATTGACTTAAGTGAAAGACAAGAGTGAAACCAAAGAAAAGGAATCCTGCAGCAGGAATCCTCTGACCAGCATCCTGGGCAGGTCCAAATGCCCCACTGGAAGGGGGTGGTGGTCATGAGGGGTCGAAGCCATGTGGTAGTGTTTGCAAAGGAGTTCCTGCCCATGCCAGGATGTGGCAGTCCCCAGTCCCTTGGGGCTGGGCCCACTGATACCCTTCCTCAGGGCTCCATTCTCACAGGCTCCTAGGCTCATCTCCACAGTGCTGTGTGGGGCTCAGCATCTGGAGCTAAGCCTGGGAGCTTGGAATCAGGTCACCAGGGCTTAGCCTGGAGGACTGCACACCATGCTCATGCCCACCATGCCCCGCTGGGCTTTGTCAGGCTCTCCTTTGGGGTCTCGAGGCCTTTTCTAGGCCTGGGACCTGCCTACTTTCTGCTGGCCTCCCTTCTCAAAGCCAGATCTGGCCCCAAGCGCACCCACCCTCCATGGCATGGCAACTGTCTCCCAGAAACAGGGAATTATTTCTTGACCCTCCCATCTCCTGGCACTGTGCTACAGCCTGAGGCTACAGAGGTAATGAAGACATGGTTCTTGTCCTTGAAATCATGGTTCCCTATAACAGTCACCCCTATACTTTAAAAATAGGAGAAGTGGGAGTGGATGTTCTTCCCACTAATAACCCTGTCTGGGTGCTTCTCCTGTGAGCATCATCTGTGCGGCTCATTGGCTCACCGCCCTCAAGTGTGAGTACTGTGTCACCTTCTCCATGAGGCCAGCCCTGACCACACCCTCCCCTCCTTGGCATCCCTAATCTCCTTAACTTGGTTTGACTTTTTCACCTTCAATGGACAGTACAGTTTCTTCATTCATTATGTCTATTGTTCATTATCTGTCCCTCTCATCTCCCCAGGGGGGCTCCACCTAACCCATCCTAACAGAACAGAAACTTTAAGAGAACTGGAACGGGGATCTTTTTTCTTTCGGTGATATAGTCCAAGTACCCAGAATAATGCCTGGCGCTCAAAGAATATTTGTTGAATAAAAGTAAGCATCTGAATGTAGCCAGAGGTCAAGATATTAAGTGAGGGCTCTTTGTATATGACCTGAGTCCAGGAAATGGACAGGATACTTTTTAACAATGATGATTAGAAGATGCCAAAACTTCATCTCTTGAGTGTCAAGTGTCCTACCCTGACTGCAGGTCTTTGTGAGGCCCTGCACCCCAATATCCAACAGAGCATAGTGTGATGGTCTCAGGAGAGGAGAAGAGGACCCAGGAAAGAGAAGGGGGCCATGCCAGCTGGGAGTGGTGCCCAGGGCCCAAACCAAGGCCCTGAGTCCAAGACAGAAGTCCAGGGGAGTTGCACATGCCAGTGAATCCCTCGGAAAACTGGCACCTGCGAATCCTGTGGAACATGTCATGGAGCCTGAGGTCGAGGGTGGATTGGACACCTCCTGGGGCTCCTTGTATGAGTTTTTGTTCACCACAGAGACAGTCAGACCCCGTGCCCACCACCTCTTCCACCACATACACACTCCCGTGTCCAGAGCACCGTCGTTTGGCTGTGAGGAAGGCAGGGTGCTAGCATCCATTGCCAGGCTACTGTGTGCCAGACATGGTGCCGATCTCTTAACATACTTGCTCTTCACCTTAACCCCAGAGGCAGGTACTAAGTTCCCTACCTACAGAAGAGGAAAGGAAGCCCAGAGAGAGTCAACCAGCTGGAGACAGAGCCAGGGTCCCACCCAGGTCTTCTGGGCTCTGCAGCCCACGCCTTTTCCGGTTTTTGCTTAACATCACTCTACAGAGTGCTTCTGCGCTGCCTTGACGAGACTAACTGCAATCCTGGGAGACACATCACATTGCCGTATTGCGCAAATGAGCAAAATGTGGCTCAGAGAAGTTAAGTCATACGTCAAAGACCACAAGTTGCTAAAGACAGAATCTGAACTTGAACTTGGGTTTTCTGATTGCAAAGGTTTTGTTCTCTCCATAGCATTGTGCTCTGAGGATTAGCTAAGTGGGGCAGCAAGTTCTGACTGGCCACTGGCAATGTGGGAAAGAACCCTGGGTTCTGGAAAGGGAGTGATGAACAAGTGCTGGAAGGGGCTTCTGGAGAAGAGAGAACCAAGCCGGGCCTAGAATGGCAAGGAAACGAGCAGAGATGCAGACAGTCTGTTTTGGGGTTTGACCAGAGCATGAAACCTGTGTTGGGCAAAGGCAGGAGGTGTGGGGCCTTCCCTTCCAGAAGGACACCTTAAAGAATCCAGAAGGCCTCTTCTAGTCTGCAGATCTGATGGTGCCCCTCTCTTACTTGGAACTCTTCAACACCCCCTCTCCATTTCCCCAGGATAAAGCCTATCCCTTGAGCCTGGCCACACGCCCTCTGTCTCCTGTCCCTCCGCCTGTGCACCCACCCTGTCCCCCAGCGGTCTTGCCCCCAGGGCATCCTCCCTCTGACATGCCTGTGTAGGTGCTTGGATGTGCTGGCTTCTCCCAGCAATGACTCAGGGAGCAACTTTTGCTACAAGGAACCGCATGGACAGGCCCGCCACTCCCTGGCTGGTCTCCTGCATCCAAAACAAACAGTCTGGCGGGCAGCATGTGGGCACAGAATGAAGTGGGGGAGAGCATTTCAGGATAACCAGGAGAGCTTCTCGAGAAAACCTGTTTGTTGTTAGGAAATAAAAATGATGAGCCCAGGAACAGGGCTGGGGTTGGTAGGGGGTGCATACCTTCTCTCACAGCCCAGTAGACACCATCATGATAGCCACTTATGGAATACCTGCTGTATGCTAAGACCCATCCTCACCATCTTTAAGCAGCAAGGTGACCATCTGGCCAATGAGGAACCTGAAGCTCAGAATACTTGAGGGAGTGGCTCAAAGTTATCCAGCCAGCAAACAGATTTGATCTCCGGTCTGTCTGGCATTAGTAGTCCCCTAAGGCAAAAAGCTTAAATTTCTGAGATGTGATCATTTAGGTCTTTGGGAAAGCAGGTTCTTTAAACAATGCTGATTAGATAATCAGCACTATGACGAAAAACAGGAACCGATGAAGAGCTGTTCATCTAGAGTCTGGGCTTTCTGAGCAGCGCCATTGGCTTGTCCTGCTGTACGGAGAACTGCAGGGATTGACTTAAGTGAAAGACAAGAGTGAAACCAAAGAAAAGGAATCCTGCAGCAGGAATCCTCTGACCAGCATCCTGGGCAGGTCCAAATGCCCCACTGGAAGGGGGTGGTGGTCATGAGGGGTCGAAGCCATGTGGTAGTGTTTGCAAAGGAGTTCCTGCCCATGCCAGGATGTGGCAGTCCCCAGTCCCTTGGGGCTGGGCCCACTGATACCCTTCCTCAGGGCTCCATTCTCACAGGCTCCTAGGCTCATCTCCACAGTGCTGTGTGGGGCTCAGCATCTGGAGCTAAGCCTGGGAGCTTGGAATCAGGTCACCAGGGCTTAGCCTGGAGGACTGCACACCATGCTCATGCCCACCATGCCCCGCTGGGCTTTGTCAGGCTCTCCTTTGGGGTCTCGAGGCCTTTTCTAGGCCTGGGACCTGCCTACTTTCTGCTGGCCTCCCTTCTCAAAGCCAGATCTGGCCCCAAGCGCACCCACCCTCCATGGCATGGCAACTGTCTCCCAGAAACAGGGAATTATTTCTTGACCCTCCCATCTCCTGGCACTGTGCTACAGCCTGAGGCTACAGAGGTAATGAAGACATGGTTCTTGTCCTTGAAATCATGGTTCCCTATAACAGTCACCCCTATACTTTAAAAATAGGAGAAGTGGGATCACAGAGGAGAGAGGGTCCTTCTTTCTGAAAGGTCAGAAAGATTCTCAGAGAGGATGAGGTTTGGCTGGTGTCTTAATACTTGCCTTTCAAAGTAGGCAGGGTTTATTTGAGGGAGATGAGAGTGGGTTGGGGCAGGAGGGAAAAGCCATGCTGGGCAGAAGAAGCAACATGAAAAAAGAAACAGAAAGGGAGGCAACCAAAATGTCCATCGATAGGAGAATAGACAAATTGCACTTTTTTCCTAAAATGAAATATTACACAGCAATAAAAAAGAACTATAATAAGCACAGTGACCTAGATAAACCTCACAAACCCAATGTTAAACAAAGGAAGTTAGACCCCAAAGGGTATATAACATTGTGTGTAATTACAATTACATGAAGTTCAAGAACAGTCAAAACTAATCTAGGTGAGAGAAAGCAGAATAGAGGTCACTGCTGGCTGGCACAGGAAGCCTTGCGGAGTGGTAGAAATGTATCTTGATCAGAGCTGTAGTTACACTGTTTATTGGGGTTTGAATCTGTAGAGTTCTAGACTTTACTATGCGGATCAGTCAGCCAGGACTGCTGGAACAAAATACCACAGACTGGGTTGTTTAAACAGAAATGTATTTCTCACAGTTCTGGAGGCCCGGAGGTCCGATTTACAGACGTGGAAACGTGCCCCAGTTCCTGGTGAGGGCTCTCGTGGTGGCTAGCAGGGGGCCGCCTCCTCTGAGTCTTCACTGGGCTGGGGAGGAGGGGCCAGCGCTCTGGTGTCTCTTCTTATTTGGACACTAATCCTTTCGCATCAGGGCCACGCCCTTATGACCTCATTTAACTTTAATTACCTCCATGAAGGCCCTATCTCTGAATATAGTCACATTGAGGATGGGCCTTCAACATAGGGGTTGTGGAAGGATATGGTTTAGGCAATTACACCAAATTTAAGTTATCCTTCAAAACAAAACAAAAATAGAAAAGAAAAAAATACCAATGTCACTTTCTCATTGCCAGAGATTCTAATTCAGTTGGTCTGGGGCTGGGATCTTGTCCTAAGAATTGTTAGAAAGTACCCCCAATGATCCCCAAATGCAGCCGAGCTTGGGACCCCTTCGGGTAATGCCTCCCTCTTAAAGACCTCTCTCCAAGGTTCCAGGCTTCGAACCTGGCAGGGTTCGCCAGCTGCTGGGCTTATCCTGGAACGCGCAGACTGCAGAGCTGGATGAGGAAATGAGTGTGCAGGTCTCTTTGATCTGAAGGAAGTCCTGCATGAAGTTGCTGGTGCGGCGATGGCTGCTGCAGTCTCCAGCCTCCGGGCAGCCCGGCTCTGTCACAAGTCACTGTGTTGGCTTCTCAGGGCCAACCCCCTTGTGCACACCTGCATGGCCTGCTCTTGGCAGGGGCCCAGGCCTGGCATCCCTTTTCAGCCTCTTGCAAGCCCCCCTGAGGAGGCAGGAAAGCCATGATCCCCATGAGCAGCAGTGGGACTAGGTGAATAACCGTGAATGGAATTCACGCCTGAGACTGCTGGTTCTCACAGCTGCAGCTGGGGAATCGCCATGGGAATTCTGAGTATTGTTCAGGGCTGACTGCGGCTTCCATTGTTGGGCTCTGATTACAGCTTTTGTTTCACCGTAAAGTACAGTTATTAAAAGCCAGCGGGAACAAAGACGTATTTACGTGCTAGGGGGTCTGGTGAAGGCAGGCTATTTTTAGAGCTGCCCCTGCTGTTAGTCTGCATATGGGGGGAGGGGCTTGGAGGCGGTGGGAGACCTGCCAGCTTTCAGGTGAAATTGAAATGTTTTTGAAGAAGTCAGAGATGATTGAAAGTGACAAGTAAGCATCACGGTTCCGCTCCAGTCTAAGTCCATTTCTGGTTATTTCTTTGTTTGTTTGTTTTTGTGACCAGGAAGAGAGCGGGTAGCGTGCACTTGGGAAAGCAAATTGGATTCTCCCTATATTAGTGTTCTCTAGAGAAACAAAGAAGATATGTATACATATTGAAAGATACAGAGATATAGATAAGATGGGAGGAGATTTGTTATAGGAGTTGTCTCACGCGGCTACAGAGGCCAAGAAGTGCCGTGATCTGTCTGCAAGCTGGAGACCCAGGAGAGATGGTGGTGCATTCCAGTTTGAGTCCAAAGGTCTGAGATTGGGGTGGGGGTGAAGGGGCAGTGGTGGTAGTCCAGTCTAAGTACAAAGGTCACAGAACCAGGGGTGCCAGTGTCTGAGGGCAGGAGAAGATGGATGTCTCTGTTCAAGCAGAGAGACCGAATTCACCCTGCCACCATGTTTTTGTTCTATTCAGGTCCTAAATGGATTGGATGATGCCCATGCTGGGGAGGGAGGTCTTTATTTAGGCTACTGAATCAAATATTAACCTCTTCCAGAGACATCCTCATAGACACCCAAAGAAATAATGTTTTACCAGCTATCCAGGCATCCCTTAGCCCAGCCAAGGTGACAGAAAATCAGCCCACACATCCCTCTTACCTGGAACCCTGGGTTCTTCCAAGGCAGGCCCCTTCTGCTTCTTCGGCACTGTATCAATGGCTGTGCTCTCCAGCCATACCGAATCCCCCAAGATCCCAGCCTGCAATGGTACTTCCACCCCAGTCACAGTTACTCTAGAGGTAGCAGTCAAAGTTATTCTAGAACCCACGACTGTCCAGGTGAGAACTCTGAATGTGCCAGGACAGTTTGGGAACTGGGCTCAACTAAAGAATACAGTCGCTGACACTGAGGGTCCATTAATATGTGCCAGGCACTCTGCTCAGGGCTTTATGTGCATTATTTCATTTTAAGACTTATGATGAAGCTGTAAGGTAGCAATCGTTATCATTTCCATCTTACAGATGGGGCAACGTTGAGGCTCAGAGAAATAAGGTAACAAGGCCAAAGTCACAGCTAGTCAGTGCCGCTGACTCCAGAGCCAATGCTCCTTGTTTGCCCGTCGTGTCCACAGGGCCTGCTGGTGGAGGGCTGCCGTGCTGAGTCCTCCTGAACACTTGAGGCATTGGTGCTGGTTATTAAATGTAAATGAACTCTTCTGATAAATGACATGATGGATGAGAACCAGTGGCTTCTGGCTTAAGGAAGAGCTTGACTAGAGTTGGAGAGGTGAGTTACAGGAGTCTGAGGAAGAATCCCATGGGCCAAGGAGATTATTAGGCCCAAAATGAATGCATTCCCAGATTCTCTCACAACTTTGGAAAGAGCCCTGCATCTTATAGAATGTTCCCCCACTTCAGTGTGGCAATTAGCAATCCATCTGTGGCCCTGGATTAGCAATTCGGCTTTGGGAAATTTTCCCATTCGAGTTTTCATGTCATATTGGAGCAAGAGTCCACATGTTTGCATGATAACAGGCATTCTGTACTTTGCAATGGTAGGGCTTATCAGCATCACAGACCTGCCACATGCAGTCAGGATAATTAAAACATGATCTACCTAGGGTGTCTGTTGGGGTGGGAACCTCACCAGGCCCCAGAGATCACAGGACCTGCTGGGGTCACCTAGGGCTCCTATGACATTAGGTGATATTCAGTGTCAGGTTCCCTTCCGTGTTGCTGATGATCCTGAAACAGGAAATACTTGGTTCTGCTCTCAAAAGTCTTGGAAGCCACCATCTTCCTTAAATCCCAGTTTTTTTTTTCCCTTTGTGAACTTGGAATTTGGTTTGGTTGCTGACCTGTTCAGAAATGCTGTTCTTGCATCTCAGTAGGCATGATGGTCCTTGAAGGATTGTTCTCCAGCCCTGGGACACAGGAATTAGCTCCAGGAGAATCCAGTCACCTGATCTGTATTCTGGGCAGGTCACTTAATCCCGCCCCACCCTGGTAATTCCTGAGACTCATCCTTCCTATCGCGTGGCTAAGGCCAGGTACGTGGGAGGGCCGGGAGGGCCAGCTTCTGATTCCTCAATCACAAACATGACCCCACCGGCTCCCTTACCGGGATGCGGGTTTCATTTTTACATTGAAAAATAGGTTAGAGCTGTTTTTAACTCTCTGCTACCCAGTCTCTGGAAGGGACACAACAGGAATAAACCCTGGTTCAGAGAGTGTTGGGCTCACAGTTAATCTTGCTTCTGATTTCTATCTGGAGTTGCTCCTCCTGTTGACTTCTGATTGTGACTCAGTCCATGACGGGGGCTGGTGGCAATCATCATTCGCCAAATATTTCTGTTCTAAGCACTGAGGATATAGCAATGAACACAACAGATAAAACCCCTATCACTGTGAAGGTTACACTTTAGTGTGACATGCAAAAAATAAACAAGAAAAGCACTTAAAATATACAACATGCAGTGAAGTGATCCTTGTTAAGAGGAAAAAATAAGCAGGGAAAGGATATATGAAGTATTCACAAGGGGCAGAAAGTCAAATATTAGAGGCAACAAGGGCTCAATAATTTTCTGTGTGACTTTGGATCAATTGCATAACTTCTCTGGGCTGCTTTGCTTTGTGTTGTCAAAGGGCTCATGTCTATCTGGGGACCCAAGGGGTGGCACGTAAGCATGTAGAAGGAGCCCCGCAAATATTTTGAATGAAACCCAGAATGCTTTAGGCACACAGGCATGATGATGATGATGACAATGAGGTTTTAAAGGTAAATTTCAGATTCTTGAATTTAGACTCCTCTCCCTTCTCTTCAGATGACAAGGATCCATGGAATATTCCACCATTCCTCAGTGCCATCTGTGGGTCCTGAATGTTCCTGGTTTGCTCCCAGACTGTAATTTCAACACGGGAATATTCCACATACTTTTTTTTTTAATAACATGGAAAGCACTGTTACATAATAAACCTCTCCATCCAAAAAAGGGCTGGAGGAAAAGCAGAGTGCTTTGTTTTGTTTTATTTTGGTCGCCGCATTTACTGGCTGATCCTGAGCCTTCCACGCAGAAGGGTGCTAACAGGTTCTGGTGCTAGTGTAACGTCAGAGTAACCCTGGGATTAGCTTGCTGTGTGTCTTTGGGCCGTTGAGTCCCTTCTCTCGCTTCCCTTGTTGTCTGTAAACGTGGCTCTCAGTATCAAACAACCTTTGGGGCTTGTTAGACAAAGAGCAAAGGAATCATTTAAAAACAGTCAGTAATACCAAATGGTATTAATAATGATGAGAAAGATTCCCTCTGAGTCCTGTCCCGGGGGAGTAAGAGGTTCTGCCTCAGTGGTCTGATCTCTGGGCTAGGGCTTTCAAATACAAGATGCTATATTTTAATTTGAATTTCAGGTAAAAAAGGATTTTTCTTTCTACTTTTAGTATGGCCCAAATATCCCATAAAGAAACTTCTAGGATCCCAGAACTGGTGACCCCTTTCAGACCTTCTAGCTAGGAAAGGTGAGCGCAAATGTCTAGGGAGATCAGGCAGGTGATATCTGGATTTTTATGTGAATTCTCTGTATTTTTAAATGTCAGCTACACATTCAATTAAAAAAACAAAATCCCACCATGTGGACCAGAACAATGTTCTAGCCAGCTTTACCATTATACAGATGAAGAAATGTGGCCTCCAGAAGATAGGTGTCTGCAAGACTACACAGCTAAGGTTTCTCAAAAGATGACAGAACAATCATTTTGGAGATGCTGAAGAAGAGCAGACTGAAACAGCCAGGATGGAAACATTCCATGCAGTTTGCAAGGTGTTTTCATCTCCACCAGCTTACGGGGTTCAGGAAACATTCTGTAAAGGGAGCAATTGAGGTCACTGAGGTTCAGAAAGGCAAAGAGTCACCCTTTACCTAAGGTCACACAGGTAAGTCTCCAAGGTAAGTCTAGGGCTGTTTTTACTTCACCTCTGATTCAGATGCCATAATATCGAAGTTTCCTTTAAGATCCTAGTAGAGACAAATTCCAAATCTGATTTTCTGCCCCATACACAGAATCGAGTCAGGAGACCAGGCTGAGTGCCCAGATGTCTAACCTAGTTCGGAAATAAAGAAGGGGTTAAATAGTCAGGGTCCCTGCTAGGTGACCAGGCGCACTGGCATTTACCTCGTGTTTTCTCTTCTTGTCGCTGTACAGCTTGTCCTGTCACTGGATATTGATTTGTTTCTTGTACATCTTCACATAGGAAGTGAGACAGGGACTGTGGGTGTAGTCAGAGTAGGGTGAGGGCCTCTGGAAAAAAAAAGCAAAGCAAGATAATTACAGATAGAACAGGGTAACAATGTGCAAAGAAGTCTCTATTTAAACTCTGTGTTAAGCATTATGCAAAGTCAAGGTCACACTAATTCTCTAGGGTAAAGATACCAGACTAGGAATATAGACATCTTCAGTGAGATCAGTTAAAGCTCAAAAGGCCAGGAGCAACTCAGCCTGGAATGTTTGAGTGTTCTGCAAGAGTGTATCAGCATAACCCGTGACCTCACTGTATCTCAACTATAAACAGCCCTAGCAAACAGACAACAGCCCAGTCCACCTTGGGGGCAGGGCAGGTGGTACAATTCTGCACCCCTAGCCCTTTACCTACATTCCTGAAAATCCTCAACTGACTATAAATCCCCTAGACAATGCACCATCACGGCTCTCTTGTCCCCTCCTGGCGTGAGCCAGGAGCTCTGTCCTCTCACTGTATCGCTAAGTAAAAGTCTTTCCCTGGCTCTCCTACCTTGGGTGTTTGCTAAGTTCATTCTTTGACTCTGCAAACAAGAATCCCAGCATCAGAAGGATGTTTTGAAAGGCATTGATGAAGATTTTGAAAGGGAAGGATGGGATCTTAAGCCTTGCAAGGGAAGGAAAGGAAGGACACAAACTGAACAAATATTGAGGGCCTACTGTTTACTACTAGGGTATGGCATGTAATTCTTTCCTAGCTCTTTGCATATCTGAATAATTCTCATTTTTTAGCTTCCAGCTCAATTGCTTCTTCAGAGAGCCACCCTCTTTAAAATTTCCCCGTCACCACCAGTTTTCTTTTTAACTTGCTTAGTTTCTCCATTGCATTAAAATCTGTAATTATCTTGCTTGTTTAAGGACTAGTAGCTCCCCTTACAGACTGTGGACACCTTGGGGGCAGGCAGGACAGTGTCGGTCTTGTTCTCAGATGTGTGACCAGGGCCTATCAAGGGCTTGGCACATAGCAGGTGTTCAACAAATATGTTAAATATTTATGAGAAAACATATTTACGCTCCATCACTCCTGAATTTCAACTAATCCTGTAGGTTTCTCTTAGCCTCCTTGTTTTATTAAATAGGAGGTGGAGAGAGAGAAATGGTGATGAGCCAAGAAATGGCGTGCACAGCTGGAAAGCGTTTTTCTCAGGGTCACCCAGCAGCCTATGGATTTATGTTTTCTGGACCGATGATGGGATAACTTGCAAACACATCATCTGCAAACGGAAGAAGCCTGTTTTTAAAGATACTTATGCCTTCAAGCTCTGGGTGATGCCATCAGAGAAACCCGAGTTCCACCCCGGCCAGACCCGGTCGTCCTCCAAAACTACGAATCCCAGGATGCATCGCAGCGTCCAGAGCTCCGCGCGCGGCCCTCTCTTGAGCGCCTAGGACCCCGCCCCTGAACCAGGAAGACTCTTGATACCCGGCCCGTCACACCGCCGGGATTCGCGCGGTGCCTGCTGGGACTTGTAGTCTCCGCGGGCTGCGCGTGCCGGCTCTGGAATCTCCGCCGCCGTCTGGGGGTGGGGGCTGAGGCGGCGCGGGCACGCGTGCGCAGTGCGCAGTCGTGCCGTCGTGGGCGCCGCTCCGGCCGCTCAGTGCCTGTGGGAGCCGGGGCCGCGGCGGCCGGGTGCTCTGGGCCGGGAGCCGCGGGGAAGTTCGGTGTGAGGAGCGCGGCCGCTCTGGGGCGGGGTGCGGGGCTGGGCCCCGGGAGCGCCGCGGCGGCTGAGGCGAGCTGGGAGGAGTCCGCGCGTCCGCGGAGGGGCCGGCGGGCGCTGGTGAGTGCGGGGCGGCGGTTGGCGGCGGCGCGGGGTCGCTGCTGCCGGTGGCCACTGTCCCCGCGCGCCCGCGCCGCGCAGCTGCACCTGGGCGAGGCCGCGGCGCCGGCTCACCTGCGCGCGCGAGCTCCGGGGCGGCGGGAGGGGGCGGCGTCCTCTTCCCGCGGCTCCTTTATTGTTTTCCTGACCTCAGCGGTCGCCAGCGTCCGGCAGTGGAGGGCGGGAGGCCAGCGGCGGTGGCGGTCCCCGACGAGCAGCTACTCGGTGGCTCTGCTGAAAAGTAGAGTCGCGCCCTCCTCCTGGACGCCCTGCGCCGGCCAGCTGTCCGGGGATTCCCGGCGGGCGACGCCTGTCGGAGTGGCTGCACTCCAGGGCTGTGCCTACGGGGACTCAACCGCCCTCGGCATCGTTTTCTCATATTTTGATGCGCTTTCACTTTAGGACCCGCAGTCATAAGTCGACACCGCCCTGTATCATAGCATCATGCAGTATTAGTGCTACACCTTCGCACCTTAATGGTGCAGGTGGCCGGTGCAACAGTTGAAAATGACTCGCCCGAGGTCACGTAGGTAGGACCAGAATGGCGACCAGGACCCAGGTCTTTGAGCTTTGAGGCCAGCAGCCAGCCGCACCGCTTTGGGGCTGTCCTGAGTGGTTTGTGGTTTCAGATGCTTTCTATTGACCCTTCTGGGTAGACCATCAGAGGGGAAAGTCATAATGAAAGAGGGCTTGTGCTTTATAGTGTTTATTGCCTTTGATAGAATCCTGCTTAGGCTGTGCCCCAAAGCAGAGCATCTGCCGTCGGCTGGACACAGAAATAATGAAACCCGATGTCATTTCATGCTCTGTTTGGAAGCAGATCCAAGAGGTTTAAGGAAAAAGTATTCAGGCAGTTTGTGCCATTTCCCTCTTCTATTTCACCGTCCAATCTTAAAATACTTGTGTTCTCTTTTTTACGATTGATGGTTATCTGTTTTAATAAGATACTCTTTGCTTTAATGAAGTCACTGCCCTTTGTGAATTAGTTTTCTAGCTAGAAAATCTTATTTCCTGTGTGTTTAAAGGCTGGAACAAATAGTTCACTATGAAGTTTATACCATTGTCCTTTATCTGAGAACTACTGATCAATCTGCTTTATTTCCTCCCAAGCACTCAGTTTACATACTTTCTATGTTAGTTTAATGCCATTGAAATACTTTACAGCAAAATTTGGATAAGCTTGATGTGATTCAGAGAAAAACTTGAAAAATCATTTTGTAAAACTACATTTTTCTTCACAATGTGGAGAACTTAAACTGTTATTTCAAATAGTAATGTTGATTCCGACTAAAATTCCTATTTTTCATACTCAAATTTTCATGTTAATACACTTGTGACAAAAAATATTCCCCGAATAGAGTTTAATTAGTCCTTATCTTGGACAGAAATTCCCAAGGGAAATTACATTTTAGAATACATATAGATTTAAACACGGCTATTTAAACTTTGCAGAATTTGAGTTAATAGTTAATTTTTTAGTGCTATAAACCCTACAGTGTACTCATTGACAGGTTTCTCTTGAAGAGTGTATGTGTAAGCGAAATTGCCCTTTGTGGTAAGCAGTCAGTAACTTTTGTGACTTTAAAAAAGATGTGATTTATATGTATTGAAACTGCTTCATATCTCACTTTATCTTGTATTTTTATTGTTGCTTTGGAGAGAGGAGAAGTAGCAGGTTTGTTGTATCTTTGTATTTCCAGTTTAAGCAATGTAGCAAAATAGGAAACAGAGGTGGTGTGTAAATTTGAGTTTGTCATAGACCAGAAGAGACAGTAAGACAGGATAAGTATACAATTGTTAGGAAACTACCATGAGTTCATAAGCCGGAAAGACCTTTTTAGAAGTGTTTAAGAACATTAAGAACAACACTGGGTTATTTTCTTTAAACAGCCAATGAAGGCAATACTGGCGTGTTGGTTGTTAATGTAGGATGTGATGATATTGAATACTTCTAGAAAAGTGTTTGGGAAAGATGGAAACATTTTATATTTTTATAGGGGCTTTTTCTCTAAAAACATTTAATGCAGCTTTAAAAAAATGATTTATTTAAGCCTGAAAATTCTTATAGTCGTAGTGCAAAACCCATAGTTACTTTGTGTGATAATTTGTACACAGAATGAAAGCTGTGAAGTAATTTGTTAACATAACTTAATTCAGACTGTGACATTGAAATAATTGTTTAATGTTGAATAGTTGTTCTTGTTTAAATAGCTCTGTCATTTAAGAATGGGAAAAATTAATAGTTTTATGACAGAATGTAATAGTTATTCAGATGTGACAATAGTTACACTCTGATTTTATTAGATACAAAATTTCATGTCCAATAGCGGCAACTGCCTCAGCTGTGAGCTGAGTAGCATACTAATAATACTTTTTCACATGCTTGAGCATTTTATTTTTGGTAATAATAAAATCTGATTTTAAATTTCAAGATGATTCTCTTATTTCAGATTGGCAGTGATACAATAAAATGGCTTCAGTAGATAAATATTAGAATTAGTTTTAATTTCTTGACCATTTATAAGTACACAGCATTTGAAAATTTAATGACATGGTATCAGAAAGGATTTTTTAGGGCAGAAACTTGGTGGCTTTAGATGCTTGTCTATAATCTTGATTATTTTTAGAAACATAAAAATATGGGATTTTTTTATTTAAAAGTAAAGATTCCTGTTAGTATTTGTTACAGCAACAGGACTCTGTTATGCATAATGAGTAACATTAAACCATTTGAACTGCAATTTTTTTTTCCTAGTAGCCGCTATGAGATAAAGAAAATGTGAGTTTATAATTTCTAGAAGATACTTAAGCAAACATATGTTTGCTGTTTATTTTGGTAAACCTTTTGAGTAGTTGAATTGCTTTGATGCAGGAAGACTGTGTTTTGGGAGTTTTTACATTAGCCTTCTTTGAATTGAAATTTCTGTTGAATGTAAAAGAATCATTTAGGATTTTTTTAAACATTTAAATAACTTATAGTCTTAAATGTATTTTAATTTTTAAGTCTTAAATATTTTTTCTCACAATGAACCCTCATCAGACTTGTCCATCTGATAGTTTTATTCTCCAAAAACTTGTGGTATTACTTTTTACACAGCCTAGCCTTTTATAGTTTTAACTATGGAACTCTGGGTGTTGTATTCAATTTGCCGTCTTCTTGAAGAAAGGATAGTCATGGGCACTTAGAACTGAAAGTGATCTCAGAGGACTTCCAGTGTAGCATCTTACCTGGTACAGTAGTAAATCCCCCATGGGAATTTCCATGTCAGGTGTACCCTTTCATTACTAAGGGCAGTAATGCTGCTCCATATGTCTTCAGGTTATTGAGCAGTTGGTTGGTGAGAACAAACATTATACAGCTTTATTTTTTCACCATTCATTGCTTTCAGCTATGATTTGTAGGCTCTTCCTCTTTTTTCCCCTCTTGCCTTGCCTCATGACATCATGGGCAAATGATAGCTTTTCTATCATTCACGCTAAAAGCTTCCAGTCTAATCTGTTTCAGTTTAAATCTTCAATCTCTAATTCAGTCTAAAGCTCTTTTCATCCCTTACCTCAGTGTCAGGCCACTTACTGCTTGAAGCACTTGGAGTGGTGAGGGATTGTGGTATGTGCCTGGTACCTCTTTCCCTTTCCTCCTTGGGTCTCCTTGGACAGGAATAAGAAAAGTGTAACAAGGCTAGTATTTATTAGCTGGTGCTGTTAAAGCCCTCTTTTGATTAACATGACAAGCCATTGTGTCCACTGATCAGAGTCCAAACTGGAATTTTTGGTGAGGTCTTACAGGGAGACTCCCCACTGCATACTGTTCCTGGACATGAAATTTGCTGTGGGTAAGCCTTTTTTAACCTACACTTCTACCTTCTTATTCCTGTTCTGTCAGTCCACCCCTTAGTTCCCATGAGTATGTTGGGAATGAGGTGGGTTGGAGATCTCTTCTATTTGCAGCCAGAGTTTTTGGTAACAGGGAGACAGTTCAGATCCACCTACCTTCTGTGTTTCCATGCAGACCCCTAGAAATTCAATTTCTTGTGATGCCAGATGGTGGCAGGCAGGCTGCTTATGTCTGCCCCCTTTCTGTGCCCTGCCATTTCTCATCAGTTTTTTTTTTTTTTTTTGGTCCCCTTGCTCAAATAGGCACAGTATCAGCCACTCAGTTTATTTGATAAGAAGTCATCACCTGGAGGATGAGATGCCAGTCTCTTCTCCTTGTAGACACTGCTTATCTTGGTGAATGTTTCTCTTGGAGGGTTCCCACTACTGCTTTGGGGTAAATACTCCCTTCCTTTCCCTGTGTTCTCCTTGAAGACTTGGAAGGCTTGTGATTTTCCCCCTCTCTTTTGTCAGCTGCTTGTGTAGAGTGAAGTAATGGGCAGGGTGCCAGAGCCCTGAGGGGTATGTGTGTGCTAACAGGTGTCAGTGCTGGTTGGATTCCACAGGTGTTTGTTCCTTGATGTCTGTATATCCTCAGCTCTGTGTTTGTCAGCAATATGGGTACAACAAGACTAGTCCCACTCAACATCTGGTTACATTGAAATCAGATGTGGGCCTGATGGGGTCTCACTATGCAGAATTTAATTTTTCTTTCTTCTGTCACTTCCAGAATTTTTTAAAAATAATTTTTTGGCTTTCTTCCTGGTTCCTGATTGAAGTATTAACTGTGCATAAGTTACTTTATGACTGCTTCTATGATCTAACTATACCTTAAAACATAAGCTGAAGGATAAATTTTGGGGACGTTTTAATATAATATCTGTTTTTGCCTCGTACTAACTTTACTAAAAATATAAATCCAAATAGAAATAAAGTGTTTGAACCTTTTTTCTTCCATCATCTAGACAAATCAGTCAGTTCAGTCTGCTAAATGATATATGCTTGTCTGATGAGGAAAAGAAGCTTCCGTTCTGGAAACTTAAGCATTAAAATTGGTTGTGGTAATTATGGGTTCCTTAATACTTCATTCAACGAGTAGGTCCTGGGTGCCCTTCATGTACCAGCCACTGTTTTAGGCATTAGAGAAACAGTAGTAAATAGAAAAAAGTATCTGCTGTATGGAGCATACATTCCAGTGTGGGGAAACAAGAAATAGATAAGTAAGTAAATGATATTGTTAGCTCTAAATGCTAAAGAGAAGAACATAAAGCAGAGAAGGGAGGTGGGAAGTAGTAGGGCAGTTTGGAGCTTTTGCGGTTTTAGATAGTGTATCAAGGGAAGCCTTCACTGACAATTGAGTTAAAAAGGCCCTGAGTGGGAACCTTGTCTAGCATAGTAGGAGCCTGATGGCCAGATTAGTGAGGTGAGGGGGGTATTAGGTAAAAGGGGTGGTGAGGCCTGCCTGTATTTCTAGGGCTTTGATTTTTACTTTCAGTGAGGTGGGATTGCATTGGCTGACCACTGGAATTATCTGGGAATATTTGAAAATGTACTGATGCCTG